CTGTATTGGGAGAGTTTCTTAGGCAAACTTAGGGCTAACTTAACATTTATAAGGTAATAGCTATATTAGGAATTTTATGTTTACAGTCGTTTGGATGAGTGTAAGTGTAAATCTGGGGGGGGGGGAACTACAGATAACGAGAGTAAGTCTATTTTGTTTTGGATGTGTGCATGATACAGTTAGTTGATGATATAGTTAGTTGATGGTGGGGTGTGTTAGGGAGATAAGATGTTTTTTAATGGTAGTTTTGTAAATGGTGGTTGAGTCTCCAGTTCTAGAGTTTTCAGGCCGGAGTTCCAGATTTTAGACCCTTTTATATACATTGAATTTTTGTATAGATTTAGCCGGATACAGGGAATGTCATAGAGATTTATGTGTCTGGTATTGTCTATGGGTCCTGTCACAATTATCAAGAAAGTGTTTTAGTTCAGCCATAATATTGGAATTTATGGTTCTGTAAATATAGGTTACACAGTACATAGTAGGTGTGAATGTTCTGTACAATAAGGAACCTATAAAGGCTATAGCAGCAGCTAGCGATAAAGTATAGCATTAACTGTAGCAAGTAAGTTAAGCGATAAATTGATAAAAAAAGGGCAGCACAAACCTAACTCCTATAATGTTGTTGGAGTTATGTAGGGCAACTGACAACAGCCCCGCCTCTGCTGCTGCCTCCACCTCCAACACTCATGACATCATGTTTCTATGTTATTAATATCTATATCATGTTTCTATGTTTTTAATATTGTTTATTATGTCATATTAGATGAATTTTGCTAGATAAATAAGCTGTAGAGCTGATATTAGTGTCATATTGAAGGACTATCTTTTGTCTCCCAACAATTCCTAACATATACCGGAAACAGACCTCTCTTGAAAATTTTTTTGAGCGACAAGGGTCCAGTGGCTCTGAAGCTGGTCCTAGTGGCATTAAAAAACAAAAGAGGGAAGTATCCCAGGATAAGGGCTTGGTACTTGAAGTCTTTTAGGAGTGAGATTCCCCTTCAAAACAATTGTAAACTCCTCCATCCTCTCCCCTCCTCCTGTCTTCCATACATCACCATGTCTTCAATAAAGGTAAGTTTGATGTTATTATTATTTTATTCTTCATGTGTCATTGTTTTCTGTGTAGGCAAATGCATATTTCATGTAGAAAACATTTTTTTTTAGTACTTTTGGGTGTCTGAAACGGTTTAATTGGATTTCCATTATTTCTTGTGTGGAAAATTAATTCGGATAATGACAAAATTGACCGGGCCGCGGGGGCGTTGACCCCCGGAACTCTCTCCAGGTAAACTCCAGGTAAAGACATGATCTCTGGGATGGATTAATATCTTTAACTGAGGGTCCACTGTAAATACAATTAATTCATTCCAGGCACCCAGAAGAATTAACAAAAAAAAAATTTACCTTAAAGATAGATTTATGTGCATAAAAGAATGAACATTCAACATGATACTTACCCTCACTGAAGGTTGTTGATGGATGGAAGACAGAGGAGGGGAGAGGGAGGAGAGGTTATTGTTTGGATGGGGAAGTCCCCTCCATAAGGACTCCAGGTACCAAGTCCTTATCAGGGGTCACTTCCTTTCTTTGTCTTTTAATGATTCTAGGACCAGCTTGTGAGTCGCTGGACCCTGCCACACAAAATTTGTCTAGATAGGTCTGTTTCTGTTGTCTCTTTTAGACTTGCTGTTGCACGGATTGCAACAGATTTCTCAGGGTAATGTTCCTCCACAAAAAATGCACCCTAGTCCATTTGCACAAATCTCCTTAATCTCTGAAGAAGGCACGTTCTTCCATCTCTCTTCCTCCTCCTCTGAAGCAATTTTCTGAACTGTGGTCTGTTGCTGATACAGATGAAGCTCTTGCAGCTCATGAGTGGTTAGCTCTTGATTGTGGTCCTCCACCAGCTCTTCCACATCCTGGCCCCTTATGCCCAACCCCATGGAATTCCCCAATGCCACAATTGATTTCACAACAGGTATAGGGTCGACAGGGTCAGCATCAAACCCTTCAAAATTCTCCTTCTGGACACAATCTGGCCACAGTTTTCTTTTTCCTTTTGTGTGATGCAGGTCCTCTTTGGCATTTTCTTCTAAAACAGGCCTATTTTGTCACAACTGAACATTTGTTTGGGTTGGAATTTTTCAGCCTCTACAAAGTCTTTGAATTCCCGAACGAATTTTTCAGCCACATGTTTGTCTGAACTGCACCCTCACCATGCCTTACAATACAGTGTATGCCACTTTGCTTCTTGAATTTTTCGAACCAGCATTTGTGGCCTTAAATTCACCAACATCAGCACTCGTTTCAGGTAGTTTCTTTATGAGATCGTCATGCAACTACCTTGCCTTTTCACAAATTATCGATTGCACAACACTCTCCCCTGCTAACTCTCTCTCTATGATCCACACCAACAACAATTTCTCCACTTCTTCATTGGTTTGGGATCTCTGTTTGGTTATCACATTTACCCCTTTTACAACATCAGCTTCCATGATTTCTTTTCTCTTTGCCACAATGAGGCTGATGGGTGATGGCACCTTCCCATACATCCTGCCAAGTTCAGCTATGTGTATGCCACTATCATATTTTTGAACGATTTCTTTTTTTCATTTCTACGGTGTTCCTCATTTCTATACCAAAGGACTGGCACTAGGAGCTTCCTTTGGGGCCATGGTGGCTTATTTAGCAGTCACACACAATAAACAAGTGCCAAAAACAATGGATTATTATGAAATGTTTCGTATGACCTTGCAGGATATGTTCACTCACTGAGAAACAACACGACAGCCTGGAATAGTGGGGAAGGCATGTGCTGCACGCTGGGCACGGCATTCCATACCACCCACAAAAATAGAGGAAAGGATTAAAACAAAACAAATTTTTTGACAAAAAAAAAGTCGGCAAAAAGGAAGTCTGCGAAAAAACGGAGATCGACGAAAAGGGAAGGTCCAAGGGGTATAATGAAAAATGAAAAAAACAAAAGCCTTAAAATTTTGGGGAAAATTTTCCAGACATAATGGAGACACACAAATGCCACAGAAATGTAAACAAATGGGTGGAGTGCATGGCTGTTTTAAAAAGTCGGTTGGGGAAAACTATAGAAATTTTTTGGTCAAAATTTTTTTTTTGAAATGTCATATTAGCAGAACTTTTTTACAGGGAGGGTCAACACCCCCAAGCCTGGTTGAGACCAGGCCTCGGTGGATCGGGATCTGATCAACCAGGCGTTACTGCTGGCCGTGCCAAGTTGATGTACGAACACAGTCCGTGGTCGGGTACTGACTTCAGGTCCCTTCCAGTCCCCTTTTTGAAGACATCATTTTGGTTTTTGGGAACCCCCCTTATGTATGCGGTAGGCAATTGAACGGTTTTGGGCCCCGGCACTTTTGTGTTTCTTCAGATCTCGGGGCCCCCCTGTTTTTCATGGGGGAAATGTTGCATCCCTCCGATTTTTTTTCCTTTAAATTGGAGTGTTTTCGTGTGCATAGTTTGGTCCAATCCCTCCAAAACCCTTTTCCAAAAGTATATACATCATGTATCTCTCTCGCCTGCATTCGAGGGAACACAGATCAAGTACCTTCAACCGTTTTCAGTAGTTTAGGTGCCTTATCACACTTATGTGTGCTGTAAAAGTTCTTTGTACTCTCTCCAGGTCTGCAATGTTGCAAGCCTTAAAGGGGGCCAATAGTGTACAGCAGTATTCCAGCCTAGAGTGCACAAGCGATTTAAAAGAAAATCCCATGTGCTTTGTCACCCCTAGTTTTGAAGGTTCTCATTATCCATCCTATCATTTTCCTAGCGGATGAGGTAGATACATTGTTGTGCTCTTTGAAGGCGAGATCCTCTGACATTATCACTCCCAGGTCTTTCACATTACTTTTCTGTTCTATTGAATGTTTAGAATTTGTAGTATACCCTGACACATTTTTAATTTCTTCTAGTTTTCCATATCTGAGAAGTTGAAATTTCTCCTCGGTGAACTTCATAGTGTTTTGAGTGGCCCATTCGAAGATTTGGTTGATGTCCTCTTGGAGTCTCGCGGTGTCTTCGATGGAGGTCACTGCCATGGTGATCTGGGTATCATCCACAAAGGAAGACACGGAGCTATGGCTTACATCTCTGTCTATGTCAGAAATGAGGATGAGGAATAAAATTGGAGCGAGTATTGTGTTTATCATCTACAGCATCCAGGACTTTGTCAAAGTGGTCCAGCAGCTGGGACAGGCAGGAGCAACCAGCTCTAAACCCATGTTGCCCTGGGTTGTGTAATTGATGGGTTTCTAGGTGGTTGGCTATCTTGCTTCTTTGAATCCTCTCAAAGATTTTCATGATATAGGATGTTAGTGCTATCGATCTGTAGTTCTGTGCAATTGCTTTACTGCCACCTTTGTGGAGTGGGGCTATGTCTGTTGTTTTTAGTGTGTGTGGGATGACCCCTGTGTCCATGCTCCTTCCTAAATGCTGAAGGAGTATAGGGGCTTCTTCCCAATTCTTGATGAACACTGAGTTCCACGAGTCTGGGCCTGGGGCAGAGTGCATGGGCATTTCATTAATTGCCTCTTTAAAGTCTTGTGGAGTTAGAATAATATCCAAGATTTTTGGGATGACCAAATTTTGGGTTTCTTTCATTAAGAATGCATTTGGATTGTTGACCCATAGTCTGGGCAGTGGCTCACTGAACACTAAAGTATATTGGAATGCATCTCACTCATTTCTTGGGTAACATCTGTGTATGTTCCATCCCGCCTAAGCAGAGACCCAGTACTGGATGTTGTTTTTCCCTTAGATTTGGCATAAGAGAAGAAGTATTTTGTTTTTTTTTTCAATTTCTTTTAGGGCCATAAAGCAGGGCCCTACTATATTGTTATAAATAATCAATTAGTATGTATACTTCATCTATGATCAATGGTGGAGTCCCAAGTGCCAGAGCTCAACCCTATAAACACACCTAGATGAGAACATTACAATGAGTACAGAGAAATTGTCCTTACCATTATTAATGAGCTGTGAGCGATATTTGAATTTCTTCAGTGGTCAACAGTGGGTCTGGAGTGATGTTGCTTGTTGTCAGTGGTCAACAGTGGGTCTGGAGTGATGTTGTCAGTGATGAAACAGTGAGGTGTTATGGTTTTGCTTGCGGTTGTCAGTGGAACTGGACCTGATGTTGCCTGTGTTGAAGATAATTACATGAATTATAGGGAACAAGTAATAACACTTTCACTGTCACTCACAAAGAACTACATCAGTGGGACCAGTGGAATGAATTATGTTCAAGTACCAAGGTTCCACTGTAAAGTACACTCATTACTTACCATAAAATATTTGTAGCCATAATGGTCTTAATGTAGAGTGAGAGGTGAATAGTATTTATTTGTAGAAAGTCAGGTGTGGGAGGTATGGTAGCCCACCTGGCCATCCCACCCACTATGACATATAAAGCTCACTAGAGCAATAAAATGCATATATGGTACACTCATTATTTACCTAAAAAATATTTGTAGTTAACCTTTTCACTGTCGAGACCCTGATCATAAACTTACTCTCAGTGTCAAGGAATTTAAAAAAAAATAAAATGATAGAGAATCTTTTGCCAATGGTAACGACACCAAAAGTATGAAAATTGATGGAAAACTTATGGAATTATGCTCTCGCGAAGTTAGCGTTCTGGGCGATTTATACTCATCAGCGATTTCACCCACTTTGAGCCCTATATTCGGCCAATTCCATTGTTCCAGTTGACACAACTCATGACTATTTCACTAGAACTCCATTTGTTCCATCGACTGAGTGGAAGAAATCGCCCATTTATCAATTTCAAATACCCAACAAAGTGATCAGAAATTGGCAATTTGGCCAATTTCACACAAATTTCAAAAGATGCCAATTTCAAAATAGGGTCTAGAATAAGCAATGCAGATATTCCTGGCACTGAAATAACATTTTCTCTTTTCATTATTCGTCTCCAGGCTCCTCTTATATTAATCTTGCTTTCCATTTTGAATTTTTATTCACACCAAAAAATAGAATTACTGTTATGCAGACTACTGCATTATTGTAATAATTGTATAATTAATGTCAGCCAATTCGTGACTGCGTATTAGATTGGCCAGTTGGACACATATTGGGTTGGTGACATCACTTGTTAACTTTTGAACACTGGGAAAACTGGAAGATTTCCACTACTTTGAGCTCAATTTCAAGGTATTTTTCATCGTGAAACCAATCAAAATCGTCTCTATTTCTGTAAGATAACTTCCATTCTATCAAATGAGACCAAGGAAATGAGGACACAACCATAAATACCATACAAAAATACACCTCAAAGTTGACGTTTTAAACCAAAAACACAGTTGGAGTTTTTTTTCTCATTATGCACTTCAGATTTTTTTATATGCACAACATGACCACGCAGACCATTTCTCTCACATGTAGGTCTACCAGCTTTCTTCTGTTAGATTACAGGCCGCTAGAATTTTGGTGTATTAATAATGTCACCAACACAGGCTTGTAAGCCACATTTATATATCCCATCGTGAAAGGTTATTGTAGGTGAAAGGTGAGTAAATAAGATAAAAGTAAATAAACAAGAGAGAGAAAATGAGTAAATGAGAGAGGAGAGAGTCACAGAGAATGTAAACATGCAGATGAATGCATCTGGTTATGGTTGATACATGTTCATTTCCATGTTTGTGAAGCTTATACCATACTACCAACACCTTACACTATGTACAAGTTGTCTCCATGTTTGTGAAGCTTTTTACATACTACAACACCTTACACTAGGGTACAGTTGTCTCCATGTTGTGAAGCTTATCCCATACTTACCAATCCCTTTCACTATGTACAGTTGTCTCCATATTTGTGAAGTTTTATACCATACAAACCAACACCTTACACTATGTACAAGTGCCCTCCATGTTTGTGAAGCTTATACCATACTACCAACACCTTACACTATGTACAAGTTGTCTCCATGTTTGTGAAGCTTATACCATACTACCAACACCTTACACTATGTACAAGTTGTCTCCATGTTTGTGAAGCTTATACCATACTACCAACACCTTACACTATGTACAAGTTGTCTCCATGTTTGTGAAGCTTATACCATACTACCAACACCTTACACTATGTACAAGTTGTCTCCATATTGGTATAATATAATAAATGAAGAGCAACATTCTCATTCTCATGTAACTCAACATTTTCAAAAAGAATGACACTCTGAGTGAAGTTATACGAAAGTTATAATTTTCTACAGTTATCATAGATGGATTAATCAAAATGTCTATATTACTGTAATATAAGACGTTCAATGTGCCTCAGAGTGATTATTATTGAGTGATATTATCATTATTAATAATGCTCTCAGTGTCCACTTTTTTTTTTAAGGAAAAAAAATCTCCCAAAATGGAAGATAATTTTTACTGAAGGCAATGACGTGGAAAGTATGAAATTTGATGGAAAACTTAGAGTTTTACGCAGATGCAAAGTTTGTGAACCTGGTACAATTTGCACATTAGCAATTCACCCAATTTGAGTTCTAGTTTAAGGCAATTCCACTCTTCCATTCAACCAAATTCAATATTACTAGCAAGTTTACTCAGGTATACACAAATAGTTACATAGATTATCATACATAGCAGTATATGTGTAGGGAACCTGGGATGACCCAAAAAAGTCAGTGTTTGAGCACAAAGAACTGCCATTCAACTATTACAACTACACTATAAAGTCCACAGAAATCAGAAATTTTGGGCCCAATTTTTACACACACAAAAAAAAAAAAAATGACAATTATAAACACAGTCCAAAATATTCAATGTAGATATTCTTGGCACTAAAACAAAATTTTCCCTGTTCATTATTCACATTCCCAGTACCATTCTTTATTAAACTTGCTTTCCATGTTAAATTCATAATCATGCAAAAAATAAAGATTTACTCTATTTCTTGGATAACAAAATATAACCAGGAATTATTGGTCACGGTTTATGGCATCCCAATAATTGAATCTGAAGAACTATTAAAAACCCATAAAACAGAGCAGGGGGTTAGGGGACCTTACCAGTCCTCAGAAAAATTGACAAAAATAGAATATTTTTGTCAATTGAATATTTTTGTCAATTTCAAGCTACTTCCAGTCCTGAAAACAACCTAGAAAGCTAGTGTGGACATGATGAACTCTAGCTTAAGTCCCCTCAAAGCCGTCAACATGACTCATGAAATCATAATGACACGATTGCAAACATACCATACCAGAGGCGGGTTTAGAACCTGCACCATACTAGCTGGAGATTTGTCTGTAAAAACTTGCATTTGTAGTCACAGTGGTGCCTATGCTAACCTTCCTATGGTGTATAAATATACCTAGTTGGATGACTCTTGTTGTCACTTGCTGGTCCAGTGGCTAATGCATTGGTGTGGAGTTTTATGACTCTCTGATCACGGTTCTTAACCCGCCCATGGTTTTGGTTTTCTTTGGGAATTTGTGCATTGTGATTCCCCTGTACTCTGGTAACTCTGTTGCCAACTTCCCTCTAATTCTCACCTTGTACTCTGTTGCCAACTTCCCTCTAATTCTCACCTTGTACTCTGTTGCCAACTTCCCTCTAATTCTCACCTTGTACTCTTTTGCCAACTTCCCTCTAATCCTCACCTTGTAATCTGTTTCCAATTTCCCCCTAATCCTCACCTTGTACTCTGTTGCCAACTTCCCTCTAATTCTCACCTTGTACTCTGTTGCCAACTTCCCTCTAATTCTCACCTTGTTATCTGTTGCCAACTTCCCTCTAATCTCACCTGTACTCTGTTGCCAACTTCCCTCTAATTCTCACCTTGTAAATTGTTGCCAACTTCCCTCTAATCCTCACCTTGTACTCTGTTGCCAACTTCCCTCTAATTCTCACCTTGTACTCTGTTTGCCAACTTCCCTCTAATTCTCACCTTGTACTCTGTTGCCAACTTCCCTCTAATTCTCAAACCCTTTTACTCTGTTGCCAACTTCCCTCTAATTCTCACCTTGTACTCTGTTGCCAACTTCCCTCTAAACTCACATTGTACTCTGTTTTCCAACTTCCCCCTAAGTCTCACCCTTTTACTCTGTTGCCAACTTCCCTCTAATTCTCACCTTGTACTCTGTTGCCAACTTCCCTCTAATTCTCACCTTGTACTCTGTTGCCAACTTCCCTCTAATTCCTCACCTTGTACTCTGTTGCCAACTTCCCTTAATTCTCACCTTGTACTCGTTGCCAACTTCCCTCTAATTCTCACCTTGTACTCTGTTGCCAACTTCCCTCTAATTCCCACTTGTACTCTGTTGCCAACTTCCCTCTAATTCTCACCTTGTACTCGTTGCCAACTTCCCTCTAATTCTCACCTTGTACTCTGTTGCCAAATTCCCTCTAATTCTCACCTTGTACTCTGTTGCCAACTTCCCTCTAATTCTCACCTTGTACTCGTTGCCAACTTCCTTCTAAATTCTCCCCCTTGTACTCTGTTGCCAAAATTCCCTCTAATCCTCACCTTGTACTCTGTTGCCAACTTCCCTCTATTCCACCTTGTACTCTGTTGCCAACTTCCCTCTAATTCTCACCTGTACTCTGTTGCCAACTTCCCCCTAATCTCACCTTGTACTCTGTTGCCAACTTCCCTCTAATTCTCACCTTGTACTTGTTGCCAACTTTCCCTCTAATTTTCACCTTGTACTCTGTTGCCAACTTCCCTCTAATCCCCACCTTGTACTCTGTTGCCAACTTCCCTCTAATTCTCACCTTGTACTCTGTTGCCAACTTCCCTCTAATCTCAAACCCTTTTACTCTGTTGCCAACTTCCCTCTAATTCTCACCTTGTACTCTGTTGCAACTTCCCTCTAATTCCCCACCTTGTACTCTGTTGCCAACTTCCCTCTAATTCTCACCTTGGGACTCTGTTGCCAACTTCCCTCTAATTCTCACCTTGTACTCTGTTGCCAACTTCCCTCTAATTCTCACCTTGTACTCTGTTGCCAACTTCCCTCTAAAACCTCACCTTTTACTCTGTTGCCAACTTCCCTCTAATTCTCACCTTGTACTCTGTTGCCAACTTCCCTCTAATTCTCACCTTGTACTTTTGTTGCCAACTTTCCCCCTAATTCCCCACCTTGTACTCTGTTGCCAACTTCCCTCTA